CACACACACACACACACACACACACACACACACACACACACACACACACACACACATATACTACTTTAACAGGCTGGTCCCAGTACAAGCTACAAGCCCCGCCCACTCAGTGTAAATCAATTACACCTGCAATACACACCTTGTTTTTTTCAGGAGCTGACTCTTGAGTCATGTACCGTAGTTATTATCCTGCTGTTGTGTGTTTATATGTTCATTTTTCTAAGACGTGTTGTAATTAATTATTTCGTGCTTAAAGAAAAGGTCATGTGACATGTGATGTCAGAGGCAGGGTGTATCAGAGAAAATATCAGTACAGCTACCTCTGCAACAAAAACTTTTAATCATCATTTTGTGTCTCACACTCTGTTCCAACACTGCTTTTTTCTTTTTATTTTTGTTTTAACAGATAAAACCTTGACTCTTTTGTTGTCAGCTGTTTTGTTGTGATGTTGTGTTGTTGTGATGTTGGGTAGGAATGGGTGTGTGATAATCCCTGTCAGACTGAGACTAGCGTGATGACTGATAATCTGAAGGAGGTCCATGTAAACAGTTAATCTGATCATCTTATTGTGATTGTGTCAAACTGACCTGACTGTTCATGTCTGCTGACTGTCATCCACTGGTTTCTGCTGCTCTGTGGAGGGAGGAGCAGCAGCACTGAACTSTTCCTCCTGTTCTCTCCTTCAGTAAAGAAGATCAACACCACGCACTGCTTCACTCAGAAGCTCTTTGTTTATGTTCATCATGAASTAAAACTTCTTCTTCTGTGGTTTTTTAGGGAAAGTTAACATCTCTGTACATGTCAGTGCTTGTATTCTGAATCAAAGCCTGGTGCGTGTTAACGCTCGTCATGATCATGTTGTGTCCATGTAAATGATGTGTTTGGATTATTTAATCTGAATACATTTCAATCCCATCATAAATTTTGTGCATGTAAACATAGCTACTGATACCTACACACTTCACACTACTGATATTATTTTTAACTTGTGACTTTGTTATTAAACAGTTGTGTGTAGTAGAAGGTGATATAATTTTATTTTTCTTTTTACGGTTTAAATCATGTTCTCATATTATTCCTGTATCAAACACGTACTCAGAGTGTTGCTTTGACTCATTCATCTTGTTTGAGAAATCCTTCAATCTTCTATGGAGCTACCTAAACACTTGCTGATACAAAGCTCCGCCCATTTAAACAAAGCTCCTCCCAGAAGCTCAGTCTTCAGCAGAGCTCCGCCCCACAGAACACCCCTCACTCACACAACTCCACCTGATTACAGGCAGGAGAAATGTTTCTTTACAAATAATCATGATTTCATTACAAAATGTATCTTCATTGTACAGTTTCTTCACACATGCTATCACTAACATGTGCTAACGTCATGCTAACACTGACATACACACATGCTATCACTAACATGTGCTAACGTCATGCTAACACTGACATACACACATGCTATCACTAACATGTGCTAACGTCATGCTAACACTGACGTACACACATGCTATCACTAACATGTGCTAACGTCATGCTAACACTGACGTACACACATG